TCTCTGTTCATCCGTGTCCAGCCCGATCTGACCGTTACCACCACTCAGACGAGGATGATGAGACAAACGATGATGAATCCTATCAGGATATCAAGTTCTCGTCCTGTTCTCATCGCTTCAGCAAGGTGAAATGAATAAATGTGCAGGATGTTCATATTATAGTGATGTCATATATATATATATATATATATATATATATATATATATATATATATATATATATGTGTGTGTGTGTGTGTGTGTGTGTGTGTGTGTGTGTGTGTGTGTGTGTGTGTGTGTGTGTGTGTGTGTGTGTGTGTGTGTGTGTGTGTGTGTATATATGTGTGTGTATATTGTCTATATTTTTATGTTAATCAGGTGTATAGTAGCTCTGAGCAGCTGGCTTCACCCTCAAACCTGAGCTTGTCGTCGTCTGAGCGGAGCTGCAGTGAGGAGAAGGAGGACCGCTGGGACACTCATTCAGCGCTGTCTCCTGTTGAAACCCCCAGACAGATTCAGCCTGCTGATAGGAAGCAGGATACCAGCAGGGGCAGGTGAGCACAAATCTGTGGATTGTTTTTGCTTGCTGTCAGACGTCTTAGTTTCTTGTCCAAACACAGTGTGTTGTAATACTATTGTAATCCATTTATATGACATATATCAAGAAAATAATGGGTTACACTTCATTTTAAGGAGTTCTTGTTACAGTGTAACCATTCATTTAAAGTTGTCATATTGCAATAAGTAAAATTGTTCTCTGACATCTACATGGTAGATATGTGGCTTGATAGATGATGCCATTGCCGATGGCCGATAGACATCACAATGCAATCCTACACACGGCCACGTGTTCACTAATACGTCTTGGTTTGAAAATGGCATTTTAGACAAAAAACGATGCCCATCCACACTGGCATTTCACCTTGCATTTCTGAAAAGCTCTATATCACACACTATATCACTGAAAACACTCATCCCGTGACCACACACACACAAACATTGTCATGCATGGCATTGTAGGCTTTGTGCACATCTGACTCTGAGCTCCAGCAGTCAACCCAGAGAGCAGTGCACGTCGGACATTTTATCAAGGAAGTTCCCCTGGATAGCATCTCACTATAGTTGTTAAACGTAATATTTAATTAATCTTGACTCTATCTTTCAACTCTTTGGTCTTTTGAATCTTTCAGGTAATGTGTCACAGCGTCAGTACACTGCTTTAATGCCAGTTCACTGCCTATTCATGCCAGAGTCCCGTCAAAAAAATTATTGACAGGTGGTAATTTGTGTGTAACTTATCTTTGTTTTACCCATAACCAACTAAAAAATAAACAAAGACCATGCGTGTCAGGTAGTTGAAACGGAAGGCTACAAATAAATAATTCATCATGAATTAATCAGTTATTCATAAATAATTAATTCACCGCTGCCTACGATGACGATGCTATTGTCCATCGCAACGTTTTACATTAGACATCGTACGATGCAAAATTGGTCAACATCGCCCAATCCTAATATCTTTATTTATTACCTTATTATATACAACTAGAATCAGCAGGTCTTTATTGACCATATTTGGAAAGGTTATGTATATTAATGAGTTCTGCTCTGACTCAGCTTTCAGTGCTTGCTCTCTCTCTAATTATACCCAACAAAAGAGACTAAAAGAGATGTATTATGTTGTATTTTGAAGTTGTTATTTCACTACAGAGAAATTGCAGGTAGAGCTGAGTGATTAGACATGATGCTTAAAAGTGCATTAAACCTAATACTCAGCAGTCTACTTGTGTTTGTTACATCAAAATACAAACATATCCAGCAAATTTAACAATTAACACGATAAACTAACAAAATATTAGGCATACCTTATTCCTCTTCGGGGTCACACTGAATACATTTATAATCTGTATAGCCTGCATTTTTCATTCAGCTCTAAAGCATGGCAGTGAAAGTCATTGCTCAGTAACTCATCAAAAGCTTTTTAGTAATTTTGCTGCATCTCCTATTTTCAAAATAAGAGTCCCACTCGAATGATAAGCTCAATATGAACCTAAAAATAAGGGAAAAAAATGATTGTTGTTATAATTTCAAAACACAGCATGAGACATGCATATTAACGATCTTGTGTGCAAAATATCAAGCTGTTAATCTCTTAATGATTTGGCTGCTTATCAGGCCAGAATGATGATGAATGTGACCTAAAGTACATGCAAACCTTGAGGGAGTGCTGTTGAATAAACCAGGTCTTTACACCGGAATTTACATGGTAACGAGGAATTAGTTGTGTTTGAGGCTTACGGTATAGCCATTTCCTTTTACTGTACTTTAATTATTTGACTATGCCTAGGTATACCCACATTTTCTTTATAGGCACCTTAAACTACTGAGTAATATTAAGTAATTTCATGTGCTTACTATATGGATAGGGTTAGAACGCGGGTTAGGTTTTACGGTTGGTTTCTCATAATTATGCATAATAATTGTAATTACTAATATAAAAACATAGAACAAGTGTAGCCAAGGACACCTTTAATTATAGTGTTACCACATGGTGTTTGGGATGCAGCGTGTTTAGACACTGTAGTGAACAGTTTAGATTTGTAAAAAATTTACTTTAATGTGTGATATGATTAGAGACAAGAGTTGTCATAAACGGCTGCTAAGAGAATTTACTCAATTAAAATGAGCCTTAAATACCAGAAGGTTCATACATTATATGTATTACGAATTCAAAAGCAGATGGCGCTCTAGCATACTACATATTTCTGCAGTGAATAGTTGGCATGTTGTAGACATGCTCTATATGCATAGACTGCCTGTGTGAGCTTGCAAAGAAAACCATTATAATAAGTAACTATAAGTATTTAATTTTTATATATATATATATATATATATATATATATATATATATATATATATATATATATATATATATATATATATATATATATATATATATATATTTATTTCTCTCTCTCTCTATATATATATATATATATATATGTATATATATATATATATAT